TCAGAAATAAATTGGGGCAGCAAGGATGAAGGAAAGTGGACATCAGCTGGAAAAGGGTACAAAAGCATAACAAAACCTAGTAAAACAGGGACAAACCAAGATCAGGCACTTCAAGCATTCCATGTTCAACCCATGCATTTTCCTCCTTTATCTATATAAAACTCAAGCACCTCACAAGTGCCTGTGTCCACCTCACCTGACCAGTTCAGAATTCACTGCAGGCTGATGGGCCTAGCTAAAATTATTCATCTTCACACTAAGAACTAAGTTTCCCTCTTCTCTAATCAAAAGGGTTTAATTTCAAAAGTCATGGGGCACATTGTGTTGGACCACTTATTAAAGAATTAGCTTCTTTACAAAGAAAGTGACTGCTACAAATTCAGCTTTCCTGAAAAAAAAAAAAAATCTCAGCCCTGTTGCACAGAACTACTCTTGGGAGCAGAAACTCTTACCAAGTCCAAGTGACACCCTGCATCTGTGGAAAACCTGACAAGAGCACACCTGGGAAGTGTGAATCTATACTATGAAGTGATAAAGGTGTGGACTTAATATCTGACCATTTTCTAAAATACACGTTCCTACTTCTGCTGCCGAAGTTGCCGATTTCCTTTTCCTCAAAACCCTTTTCCATTTCCCCACTCAGGCAGAGCCTGGCTGAAGCTGCCTCTCCCTCCCTGGCCTTCCCAAGAAGGAGTTAATGGGATTGAGTGGCTGTTGCTGCACTCTTTCACAGAGCCAGGCAGCTGGCTCCAGCACTGGAGACCGAGTCCAGTTTTCAGGGGAAGATATAGGCAAGCCAGAAGTATGGGCTGGCAAGCTCAAGTGCTCGGAAAAAAGCACACAACCAAAGGCTAAGAGCTCAGAACGGGAGCCAAAGAAGCTGTCCACATTCTAGGCACACACCACCAGCATGCTGGGAGGAAACAGGCAGCCAGTCCACCTGGAAAATGTGATGGTGTGAAAGGCCTGCAAGTGGATCCAGTCAGTGAGGAACGGTGGGAGAATGGTAGAAGGGGAAAAACCCAGGAGAAGAATAAAAGACTTCATCTTTGAAGCAGTTTTCAGCATGTCTGGATGCAAAGACTGATATGGAAAGTATCACTTAATTTATGTAATTAAGACCAAAGTTATAAATGGCACACTGGGATGAAAGCAGCCAGGTTTTCCAGACAGTGCATTAAATTAATTCAGTTCCAGAGTTTGGTTCTGTACATTTCCAACTCTGCATACAGTCTGGGTCCAACAGTTCCTTTAAATCAGATTTATTTCCACAAATATAAAGCACAGTAATATAAAACAATTTAAACTAAAATACTGTTTCAAGTCTTTGTTGCTTGACCAAATATTAATGGTGGTGGTAAATGTAATGAAAGCCCCCAATCTTGTAACTACTTCCAGCTGTCTCTTTTTATTCAAAAGAACCAGCAAGACTCTTGTCAGTTTGGGAACCACAGCTCATACTAAAAAACTTTCATCATTTCTTACCCAATCCTATTGGAATTCAGTTACAAGTATCAGAGAACAAGACCTATGAAAAATGGAAATAAATAACACTCAGAAAATGATTATTTCTGTAAAAATACTGCATTTTTTTTTTTTGGATCAGAGGAGTTTATAAACAGTACAGTGCTAAGACTACTAAAAAAAAAACCTGAGGTGATGTTAATCAGGTTCTGGAAAAATATCTCCAGGACAACTGAGTATTATTTTACTGCAGTTGTACTTGGGTGTGCAACAGGTGACTAATCCATTTATACTGGTTCACTGATTGCAGTACCATACACAACAGATTCTACTCAAGCCTATGAGCACTTGATAAATATAATGTTAGAAGCATTATGATACAGAGGTGCAGTGAAGGTATGAAGCATTCCTGGCATGCTCCTCCACCTCCCTGCCATGGCAGAACCCCGCTGCAGTGATCTCTCATGCTCTGATTTATTTCCAAGAAGCATGACCCCTTTTTTGTATCAAAGAGCACAAAGATAAAGGCTCAGATTTAGAAAGACAGATGGGTTTCTATCCACAAGTATCAGATACTGACTGATCCCAGCAGAAGGTAAGTAACCCGATACTTCTGAAGAAGGGGACCTAAATTTAAACAGGAAATTAGAGACATTCTCCCAAGTTAGGAGCTAATATTATAAACACTGGGACTCTCCTTAATTAAAAATAAAATTTAAAAAATAATATTAATTGGCCTGTAGCATCTCCAGCAAGGAAGAGCCCTTCAGATGTAACTGGACACAGAACAGAACCTATGCAATTTTCACATGTCCCAAAACATCCAAAGGTAAAAAACATACAAAGAATATGATAAATTCTCTCATGGATGAGGGACTAATCAATGCAATGCTGATAAACCCCATAACCTCAGCACCATCAGCACCCTGCAACTATTCCAATGCTGACACCTCTTTCCCCTAAGCCCTTACAATTGCTGAAAATAAAGTTGATCCAGACAAGCACGAGGAGAAACAAATGCTGGACTGACAAACTCTCACTTGTAGATGATGGAGGGCAGGATTAACTCTTCTAACTGAACAAAAAAACCTTCTCTAACTAACAAAGCCACTTTTTTTTTTTGACTGTGTAACTGTTTACAAACCATGCCTAATCCAATATTAACACTCACTTCCACGGTCACAGAATTTGTTTTTTCAACATTTGGCAAGAATAAAAGTAAGTATTAAAGTATATGTGCAGCAGGACCACAGCACCTCTAACAGCCCCCACTGCCATAGCTCCTAACCACAGACCTCTAGTTCTCATGTGAAGTCACTGAGCTTTAAAAAAAAAACCAAAACAAACAACCAAAAAAAAATTCCCCAGCATTCTGAAGAAAAACACTTTTCTTTTGAAGTCACATGACAATTTCTTCTGCCACATTTCCTCAATATATGGTAGTAAAGAATGAAAGGTAAATAGAAATAAAAATTGAAATCACTGGAAATAATCTGTATTGATGATAACTTAGAACCAGATCTTTTAAATGTTTTTGCAAATGAAGACACTTTAATAGGAGGATATTCAAAGTGAACAGGACTGAAAGTTAACACAGGTTTCCACAGTGACTTCACCACAGACAGGACCACACTGCAAAACATGAAACAATTTTTCCCCTATTTCAATCCTGGCACAAAACCCAAAACAAACTGAACTTTCCCAAAATATGAACAGAGTTCTAAGAGGCAATTCTAAGTGGTAACCAGCCATGATACATCTCAGTTCCCAAAAAACCTTCCAGTGCAGTGACATATTTCTAAAATGCATTTTATTTGTATGCCAATGCTTTTCCAGCACCTCCAGTTTGAGATAATTTTCACTCTTTTGTTTTAAAGCTTACATCTCCAGTGTGTATTTTTTACACATGCACACCCAATGCTTCCTAAGTGCAGTAATCATGGCAGGGGGTCAAGGATGCACGAAGTCACAGCCAAATTCAACACACAGTGCCTTAGGCATGGGAATGTTCCTTCTCAACAGTTTTCCGTTTTATATATGTGCATCAGGTATCAATTTATACTCAGTATTAAAAAACTGACTGAAAAAAGCTTAACTTTAAAGACTGTATTCTTCAAAATCACACTGTTCCAGTGCTAAATTTGCCTTCCAGCTGTCAAACTTTTTTATCCCATAGAAGCTCTGCATATCAAATGTGTGGCCACAGCTGAAAATCTACTCACTTTATGCAGTCCAAGAATAAAAAAAAAAGACATAAAATAAAAACAGTATTCTTCAGTGAACTGCATCACTTAAAATGCTTATTAAAGTGTGCCAGAATCCACTCTGATTTTTTTTTTCTCTAAAAGTTCCTTTCCACCAAGTTTTCCAATTTCAAGAGTGAATATTAGAAGTGAATACTTGGGAGTCCCAGCCGTACAGAAGTAGGTGACAAAGAAAATACTGGTTTCAACAGGCTGTGAATTCACACTTAAATGGGGCAAAGCATTGCTCTTTAGACACAGATTAGTTACACAAGCTGAACACCAAGGGTAAAAACTTTTAAAACACTAAATATGAATAAAAGCTATAAACAGAGCAAGAGGATGCCCATCCCTGAGCAGTGTTCCTGAGGAACAGCTGCCAACACAAGCTGCTCACGCACTGATGGATGCACCCAGCCAACCATAAGCCCACAGCTTTTCATACCTATACAGAAAATAGATGTATTTCTCTACAGAGACTCAAAATATCAAAAAAAAAGAGAAAAGTATGTAGAAATTTTTGCACTAGTAACACTTTTAGGATTATATCACCAGACACCTGACAAGTGTTACTCCCCAACATGACAGTAGTGGGCAACATTCCAGTCAAAATTATGATTAACAGAGGGCCACTGTAAAGGACTTTTTTTGACAACCAGAGTTTTCAATAAACAGTTTAAAAACCCCATGTAAAAACGTTTCTTCTGTCAACTATAGCCAGAAAACACTCTACACTCACAATTAAAGCATCAGCTTTACTGCTCAACTGCTATCTACACTAATTTGGAAGCATGGAAAATGAAGAGGAAGGAGTTTAAGGGCAGTCCTTTGACTCAGTGAACAACCCTGTGTGAGTCGCATGCCTTCCTTAAGTTGCATGTCACGTGCACCAAGATATGGATTAGAACCTTATTAGCCAAGCAAATTTATTCAAAATTTTCTTTATGACTTACAGCAGGATGAACCTTTTCTATACCTCTCAGTGGAAATCTGGGAAACTATTTACAGTCATCCCATTTTCCAGTAAGTTCTACAATGATGATTCAGCCTGTATCACACTGTACATCCTGCAAATAAATTGCTCGGACATTCAGCTGTGCAGAGTCGCGATCCTCCACGATCCCAAGTCTCCTCTTAAATCACCACATGACCGTGTCACGCACAAATGAAAGTAATTTACCAAGGTCAATACGGGGAGAGGGGGGAGAAAGGATTTTTCATGAGGCAGCAAAAAAATATAAGAGAAACGAACCAGCAAAAAATTACCCCAAGGCAGCGCTTGCCCACACTCACATTTGCAGCATGACTTCGTTCAGATACACTCCATCCACCAGCGCCACATATTCCTCCAGGTTGGTCCCATTTCCTCCAGCCAGAGGTCCGAATGTCTTCACCTGGAACAGAACCAGCAGCAGCACCGTGACACCAACTCCACCTCGCTCCCCTGCCGCAAGGCTCTCCTCAAACAATGAGCAAATCAAACCAGGAACGTGTGAGGGGAAAATGAACGCTTACCCAGGTGACAAGAGGGCTCGACATGAACTGCTCCAGAAGGGGTGTGAAGATCTCGTTCTCCATTTTACAAAAAAATGGTTAACATCAATGCAGCTCCTCTGATACAAAAAATAAAGATAAGTCCTTCACTGCAGCAACTCTCTGGAATGCTCCAAGGATTCAGCTGGAGTGAGTGAACCCCATTTTTACCAAGGGATGCAACAGCAACAAAAGTCAGTGCACTGGCAAGCGGGATTTATCTTCCTCTTTCAAGAAAAAATGCATCCGAAAGTCCATCTACGCGTATTTCAGCCTTTCCATTGATGCCTCTCCCTTCCTACATAGCGAAGGGGTGGAAGGAAGGAAGGAAGGAAGGAAGGAAGGAAGGAAAGAAAAGAGGGAGGCTGCCTAGCTACTGGGATTCTGCATCAGAAAAAAAAAAAAAAAAAAGAGAGGAAGGAAAAATCTGCTTCAGCAGCGGCAGCGCCTCAGAAAGGAAGGAGAAATTCCAGCGAAACTCCGCAAGCTCATCCTGCCCCTTCCCCACAAAAAAAGCCCCAAGCCCGGGCGAGGGGAGCAGCGAGGGCAGCGACCCCCGCCCCTCTCGCGGCCAAGCCCCCCGGGCTGCGGCTGCACCAGAGCCCCGCTGCCCCCCCGCACTGGCACCGACAGGGAACCGGCCCCCGGAGGGATCGGGGGCTATTTTAAATCAGTTCCCTTTTCTATCCCTTCCCTTTTCCACTTAATTACGACGCCAGAGAGCAGCAGGACCGGCACACGCCGCCCGGCCCCGCAGCCTCGCCCTTCCCCCGCGCTGGCCGCTCCCCTCAGGCTCCGCTCTCCCCTCGCCGCTCCCGGAGCGCCCCCCGACCCCTCCCCAGCTGTTCT